TTGTTGGGGGCGGGGGAGGGGAAGATGATGAATTCTCCTTCGACCCTTCCCAATTCTTCTGGTGGGACTAATAATAAAATTAACACGAGGCAGATTCACAGGACAAAAGGACCAAATTTATGATGTACGTACACTCACGGGTCCCATTACAATAGGAGCCTGTGGATGAATAGCTCGGGTGAGACTGGATGACATCTGATGTGTTAAGGGTGCGGGGAGGGGTATGGCTTGGGGCTCAAAGGGGAGGAAGGAAATTCACATGCAGATGGAAAAGCAGATGTTTGATAAACGAATGTTTGCCGGGTCATCTTTAACAATGGGACACAGAGAGGACTTGGACCAGACTGACCTTGCATGTCCCGCCCCGACACACTAGTTCATATCAAACTGTAGGGACCTGTGATGACAGAGCCTTCGTCAAGCAGGTCCTCTGTCTAACTTCTTTTAGGCAGTTCGGGGAAAGGTCAATGGTTTTTCCTGTGTCTTTCGTGTCTTAAAAATAACTGGCTTAAAATAATCAATGTCCCCAAAGGCAGATTTGGGCATGGCAAGCTCTGTTCTCCTTCGCGATGAGCTGCTGAGAAGCCTCCTTCCTTCCAGACTGGGGAGTGGGGACGCTCTCTACGCCAGCGTGCTGTCACACCCTCCCCACCCATGGGAGGAGGGACTGGACGTCTGCCTGGTCCTTGCTAGGTAGTGACCTCACTCAATGTTAAAACGTAGCACGGTATTTTGCAGGCGCAGCGGTAACCGGCTGAGCTTGACTAGAAGCTAACCGGTGACGTTCACCCCACCGTGACTAAGACATCAGCACGGAACTAAATGTACACATGCGGTGGCTAAGCGTCCCCTCGGGGACACAGAGCTTCCCATGTGAATCCCCGTCTGCTTTACTCGCTACGAGTACATGACACCAGCTAACGACAGCCCCGTGGCGTGTCTGAGTGCAGCACCCCAAGGGGCCGGCCCCTGGAACTCGGTACCACGCTGACCAGGCGTTGGACAGCCCAGGATCTGCAGTGATGCGGACGAGTCCATCTCCTTCAGTCTCCTTCAGCAGGTACGGCCCATGGCTCCTTTTACACATTGTTGACATGCACCATGTACAATCCCTTCGTGGTCTGCAAGCTGCACAAACACACTTCGTGGTGGCTGCACTTGACCCCAAGACTGAAGGTTACCGAACCTGCCATTCACAGTGTCACCACGTGTGGTGCCAGGCGGGGACTAGACGAATCGGCGGAACCACCTCGTAAATCATACAAATGTTGAAAGACGATGCTGGTGTAAAATTATATCGAACGTCGACTGTAGTTGAAGAAAAAAATTGTTTTTAAAGAGATAAGATTCTCCTTTGCTCTGATTCTGGATGCTCACGTAGTATGTGAAAATCACAGCAATCTGGTATTTTAAATAACGTTAAAAAATTCATGACATCGAGAGGGACATGTGACGTGAACTCTGGTGTCACCTCCACGGGGTGGGGAGGTCCCTCGGCAACAACAGAATCAGAAAATCTGATTAAAACGGCACGAGAGTGGAAAGTCCTCTCTTGCCCAGTTTTGTGCATTTTTCAGCGGGAAACGTGCAGGACGGAAAAGAGGTCGTTTCCTGCAAATACAGACGCTGTCGACGAGAGTGTTTACGTGGCTGGGATTTGTTCTTTGGTCCTCTAATGAGAAAACGGATTCCTTGCAAGCATCGCAACAGACCCGCCCAGGAAGAGGAATTCACGTTTGCTGTCCCTCGTTCTGCTTTTCTGGAAACATGATACATAGATGTGGCATCGTTCGATTCACATGCCACCATCCTGGGCTTGCTCCCCCTGGGGAGAATCTATGCTCTCGTGCTTCGGTCAGGGCTAAATCTTCGATGCAAGGGTTGACATCCATGCCCGAAGGACCACGTGCAGGAAGTAGCCTCAGAACGCTCTGCTGCCCGCTCCATCCTGGGCTTCCAAAGCCGTTCCTATTTGCAGGCATCTTCCGGCTGACGAGCAACAGGCAGACAGTCTGCGTACCATTCTGGAGAGACAGTTGACGTGAAACTTTACGATGGCCAATCTCTCTTTACGTGATTTTTGTTTAAAGTTCTCTTCACAGCATATATATTTATAAAGTTATCTTCACAGCATATATATTTATATATAAAGTTATCTTCATATATAAATATATATATTTTGGTTATCTTTTAACATTCTGGCTGAATAAAAAAAAAAAGGCCAATCCCACAATCGACATTCCGAGCGATTTCAGGCACACACATCTCTAACTGCTGCTCAGATGAAGTGTGGTGACGTGGGCTCCTTAGACGGGAATGTATGGCACTAAGCGAACCTATCCTGCCGGAGACGGAGTGTCGCTCATGTTCGATGCGACGCTTGCTGCTGAGTGAAGTGTCACGCTGTGCCTTTCTCATGCTGCATGTTCTGTCTGCAGAATGACTCTGAGCTACGTAATGCCTTTGTACGCGGATAGCGCGGGGCATGACGCTCGATAAACAATAAACAATAACTTCTCGTACGACAGCTCTAGCCCGCTGACCTGAAATCACCCGCACTTAAAAAAATGACGTCGTTATTGAAGGCCTGGTGTAACTATGGGGGAGGGTTTTTTTTTTTTTTTAATTCTAGTCTTTACATT